CGGTGCTCCTCTGGTGTGTAGAATGTTGTCTAGTGCACTTAGGATGCTGACTGTCGATAACTACTCTTAAAACCCAGCCTCCAAAGTAAATTGAAAGTAAATTTGATTAAATCTGATATACTTTTGTGCTAAATGATTTGTGAATATTATCTCTTTCAATTTGTGACAGTTTCCATCAAAGATCAAGGAAAACAGCTTGCAAACAGTTTAGAGGAGGTATTTTTTGAAGGTCCCAACTGGCTGTGTTAGAGGCATCTGCAGACCACTTGTTTCTGAGACAGGAAGCAGGAAGCACACTGAATCGACTGCAGCCACAGCATTTTAACAAGGGAGATTGTGATAATGTGGCCTCACTTAGAGCCCAACCACAGCATGTGTACAGCAGATATACCGCCGACATATTAACAGTAACTGCATAGTGTTTTATTGAAGTTGAAAACTGCGTCAACGTAAATCTCAGCATTGAAAAGTGCAACAAATGTTAAATATTCTCTGGTTTTGCTGTTCTTACATGCGACAGCACTCCTCAGCTGCCGCAGATGGACTTAAGGCCAGGAAAATTGAGCAGTCATTCTATTCATCTGTGAACCAAAAGAAAATAACATCCTGTCAGTCCAGCAGACCTTATCTGCTACTATTGTGCACTTCGTCACTTTCCTCCTTTTGTTTTCTGTATTGTTTGTCGCTTCCCTATAATATCCAATCTTGCTGTAGTTTTAAAACTGATTTTTATGCTAAAATGTTATCAAAACAACAAACTTCCATGAAACTGAAGCCATGATGATCAAGTTGTGTTGTTTGGTCGTCTTCTGAGGACATTACAACAGACACAAAAATTTGGAGAAAAAATATTTTTGTGTAATTCTTTGTTGGGAGGCTGTGAAATACTCCCACCGTGTGGTGAAACACGTAACTGCATCTTGTAAGACTCAAACGCCACAGTAGCTTTAGAGTGTTGGTTACTTTATATAAGAAAATCTTATTAAAAACTATAGACTGTGCGCATGTGCAAAGATGACAGTATGGTCATTTATAAAATGACAAACAAACTTCATATTTTCTTAAATTATAAAAAGGCAGAATTGTCTTGGAGTTTGTTCTAAAAAAAAAAAAAAAAAAAAAGAGGCACTTGGCTAAAACTACCAGCTGCAATTAAAATCTATTTACTATATGGTGGCCACTTATAGATTTGTTAAAATCATTTCCTCAAAGAAATAAGACATTCTCACCCAGGCAGGAAAACATAAAATCACTTTCATTTTGCCTTCTTGATGCTACAGAAATGAGAGTAAAACACAATTATACTGTGCAAAAAACATATTTATTGAAACAAAGTATTTTAATGAATACAGCAATTTTTCAAGCTTTTTTTTAGTGTTGGAATGATTTTGCTTTAAAATTATAAGGCAAATATTTAAAACATTGTACAATGTTTATATGACCACAAAATAAGGTGTTTTGTTTTTTAAATTGAGTCTTGATGAAGAAAAACATGACCTCATCGATTTCCTGAGATGATGCAAAGTAAACAAGAAATGTAATGTTGCCTCAAACACTGGGATTTTTGCATGAAACAGTATGACCAATGTTTAAGTTTGTTATACTACTATTTTTACAGATTTAGTCAAATAGTCCACATCATCCCACTTAAGTTTTCATTATTTTCATTAATCTAAAAACTTGATGAAGAAAGAAAAAAATCTTAACATTTTAGCAAACTGGCCAAATGTTCCACAGAATGAATTAAACTGCACAACTTGGTTTTTGTTAACTGCTAAAAATAATCACAGTTTTCTAAGCTTAAAGAAAACTTGTGCCACTGAAAGAAAATAAAGACAATCTTCAAATAAAAAGTAGCTTGTAACAAAAGACAACATTAAAAATAGATTAAAAGGCTCATATGCAGAATGTCAATGTTCTTCTCTGGTTACTGTAGCTTTTTACATATACAGTAAAAGCATAGAATTAAAAAAAAAATCTAGCAAAACCTTGATCCTGTTTAAATCAAACACCATCAGTAGTACCTAATCTGCTTATATGTGTTTGTTTTCCCCTGATGTGGAGAGACGACAGCTGCTGAAACACGAATCAAACATAAAATTAAAAGTTGACGCAACTTTCTAAAGCCTGGAGTTTACGTCATTTTTCTGTGCAGATAAACAGAAATATGAAGCTGCTGTGAATCATCTCCTCAGCTGGAGTGAATGGACAGAGACAGCTTGAGGCAGCCCAGCTCTTTGCCTCCACCACCCAGGACTCCCTGAACCCTGTAGTTCCCATTGGTGAGCCAGTAAGGCAGGTCCATGTAGGGCAGGTAGAACTGAGTCTGAGGCAGCGAGTAAGAGCCCTGAGGAGACACAGAGAATATAAAAATCAGAGCAAACTTGGCAACACTGGAGTTCAGTGTTATCTAACCTTTAAAGGGTGGATCAGATTTCAGTGTAAAGTGAGTATTTCCAGTGTTGAGTCTTCCTTTCTTTCTAACTTCAGTAAATCTCTTCATTATGCTGGATATCACCTTTGAGACAAAGTCCTGACTGTTGGTGATCCATTTTCGTTTTACTAGCGTTTGGAGTTTCTCACAGCGTTTGTTATCATTCCTCAACCTGCTCTTTCAGAACTGATCATATTGCTGCCACTACGGTTAAGACCAGAGGAGTTTCCTCTTTTCACAGTTGCAAACTGTTACTGTTCTCATTTTTGACTGGCGACATAATTTTTACTACGTGACAATGCTCTCCATCTAGGTGCAAAACAAGCAGACCTTCAACAGATTGTTCCTGTATTGCTGGGAGGAATTGTTGGTATCAGGATGCTTCCTCGTTACCGCCAAGTAGAACAAGTTGACCGTTTTCAACCATTTGTGAGACGCACTAATAATGTTTGCTGTCAGGAGCAATATTTGTTTTAAACCTCTCGGTCACTGAAACCTTTTTTTTTAATTTGCAGCAATAAACAACGATGCCAAAACTTAACCCAGGTTCAGTTTCTGTCGGTGAAAAGAAAACTCACCGCTTTGAAGGGGCAGTGACAGGGTAGGCCGTAGGTGTGCAGCGGTTCGGGACAGTCCTGTCCCGGTGGGATCAGCTGGTTCAGAATCTCGCAAGCGTCATTATAGTGACAACTGCCAAGATCCTCGAGGCAGGGGACCTTCACCCAGAAACCCGCCACCTCCTTCTCCAGGGTCACATTCAACTACAAAAAAAAAAAAAAAAAAAAAAAAAAAAAAAAAAAAAAAAAAAAAAAAAAAGAAAAGGAGGTCAGAGTGATATGCAAAAAGATTGACTTTAGTTTCAAACCTGCACAAACACAAGAATGGCACCATAAACAACACAATAACTGACTGGCATGAGTAATAAAGGTGTGGAGCTGAGCTGTTAAAGGAGCAATATTATGTATTTTCCAGGCACATAGCACAATCAAGTAACTATGTAACCTGCAGGTGTTATAAAAACTGAAGGTTACAGTTTCAGCTTTCAGGTTACACTGAAGGTGTTCTTCAGGTAAAAGAACTGAAGAACACCTTCAGTTCTTTTAATTTGTGAGGTCAAATTAAAAGAAATTTGACTTCACAATTTGATGCCTTGTAATTGGGGCTCTGTCTTTTTTAAAAGCTCCCACTCTTTCTGACACGTCATCACAACAACACTCCTATTTTCTCGTTTTTAGGAGAGTTGTACTGAGAAGTAGTTCACATGATCAGCTCAGCAGACATGCAGTTCCACCAGGTGTTTGCTAAGTGCTGCTGCCGCTAGTCTGGAGGAACTGAGTGGGGAAAGTGTGCAGGAAAGGTGATTGGTGAGGTGGAAGCTCAACTGGAGAATGCAGCAATAAATGTAGAATCTTAATAAGTAGACTAAAAGCCATTTAAAACAAGGGACAAAATACAATATTAGTTTTACCATACTTTACATTCACAGCATGGGGAATAGATTTGTTTAATCTGTAAATAATAGGATAATCTTTTCTTGTCCCTTTGTACAAATAGTTTCTTTAATACTTTGACTTGTTTCATGTTTTTGTGTGCAACCCTACAAAATTAAGAGATTAACAGAAAAAAAATAATCCACAACAAATTGATAAAAGAAAAGAGAAGTTGTAAGTAGAAACACTAGTTTATATATTTAAATGTTTTAAAATGTTTGAGTTGCTGTTTGCAGGTCAAGGCGCTCTAAAAAAAAGACGCCAAACCTCTAATCAGTAAGCTCACATGATGATTGGACAGCAAATCCAGAGGCATCTGCTGAGACAAACAAAAATTTGCAAGCTGCAGACAAACAGATCTGCTGCTGCTGAGTAACTCAGTGTCTGAGGCGTTCTCACACACTAACATGTAGTTAATGCTAAAACTGATAAACGTCGTTTTGTGGTTTATTACCAGAGAAATGATGAAGTGCTAGTGGTGCAGGAGTTGACTGCTTCTCCCTTTAGTTTACTGCTGTTGCAAAACTGATAATGTTTTCTCTCATTTTATTAAAAAACAGTCTAACAGTCAGTGTCTAATCTGATCAGTGTGTAATCATTGCAAATCGAGAACCAAATACCTGCAGTGTTAGCATTGTCGGTGTGTTTTGCTGAGTCTCAGCTGGTTTTCCCATGATGTAACCAAACCAAACTGTGCTGAATGTCCCAATAACAAACATCTTGAAACATATGCACAATTTTCAGTTGATTGTTTCAGGTTTGTGTTGCAAGACGTCAACTCACAGACAGAGGGGAGGCGAGCTTGACCAACGTGGATCCGGACGCAGCGGCCGTCAGTGATCCCGGAATGTTGATGGGATCTGGAGACACAGTCAGGGTCTTTAGCACAGCCGGAGCGTCGGGCTGTCCGCAGTTTTTCCAGCCGAAACCCAAAACCTGCAGAGTCATCAAACCTTCACTTCTCCGTTTGACTCTCTGCCAGAAAGATCCAGCTTTATGCTTTACACTGACGTAGTAAAACTGAAATGTGACAGAAATCAAATTTTTCTCCTTCTGAAGTTGCCTATAACAGTTTATTCATTTAGGTGTCATTAATCTTCTTTTCCAACAATGGCACCAGGATTCTTAAGCAGCTTTAAAAAAAGATATGAGCATCTCATTTCAGATGTCAAATACAACAATAAACTTGAATTTCTTAGTACGGGGCATAAAAGATTTGCAAAGAAAATATTGGTTATTTACATTAACTTCCATGCTAGACCAAAAAAAAATGGCCAAACTGGAATATTATTTAGGGATCATACACATTACTTAAGGTTTAAAACTTATTCTTTTCCAGACTAAAAGCCATTTAAGTCTGGCTCTGGAAAAATATTCCCAGAGTTTTCAGACTTTAACAGAATGTATTGCACATATTTCTACAAATACCTGAAAGTAAAAAAGGAAATCCAACCAGTTTCTATTCTTAATGCATCACGTTAAATAACTATTTTTAATCCTTCAATGAACGATTTTACAATTTCTGGTCTCACTGGTGCATTTCTCAGAGCACAACAGAAATTCTCAAAACTATTTGTTCAATCTTCAAATCAACGTGTCACTTGTGCACATCAAAAAGCACTTTTGAGCAAGGTGCAAATGCTTTTGAACATCTTGCAAGTGGTTATGTACAATTCTATGCTTCTTCTTACACTTTCAATTGCTCTTGTCACGTTGGTCAAAATGTATTAAACAGGTCTCTGTTGAGTTGTCTCGACTTCCCCAAAATGTAAGCACAATTTCATTGTATAAGTCTTAACATGGGAAATGCTTGAACAAGTTCTCATAATACAGCAATAATTTCTCAGCATGTTAATGGAAAGTAAAGGAAGACTCCAATGTAACCCCTAAGCACTGCATGTACAGTTTTCTTTAAGGAGGTTATTCTGTTCCATTTTGTTGCTGTTTTTTGCTCTCTGCACTCCTGTCTGTTTTTTTCTGTATCACATTGCCTCTCAACAGATGACAGCAAAAGTACAAATTTGACTGTTTTATTCAATCACAGTGAAACAAGACATAACATTCTGGAGCACTGATGTGTTCATTGACACATATTTCATTTTGAGAGATGAACTAAGTATTTTGAGGAAGAAACTGGATTTTGCAGGGAGTCCATGCTGTTTCACTGTTTCTACTAATTGTTTTGGGAAATACATTAACTGTTTTTGAAAACGTCGAAAATGATTCGAGAAATGCACAAAAGCGACTGAGAAAAACAGTAAGAACGCGGGTGTAACCGAACAGAGATTTATTTATTTATTTATTTTTGTTGTTGTTGACAAAGCGGAAAGCGTACCTTTGCGTTTCTGACTCTCTTCATTCCAAAGGACTCGCAGTTTGCCTGAAATACCACCGCAGCTAAAAACACCATCACGGCTGCAGTCACCTTCAGACAGCCGGCCATCCTGTTCATCATTACGGCGGTAAATCCCGATACTCTGCGCCTTTAAAGCGACCTTCTCCACGGGCAGAGAAAGCCAGAATGCTTCCTGAGACCAACACTTCCGTGTTTACAACCGCCGCCTGAAAAAACTATCACGTGATCCACATCAGTCACGTGACGGACAACAGTCTTTCATTGAAATGGTGATGCATTCAGTTGGGTATTTATTTGCACGACATAACATTACAAAGCATAACATTTCTGAACTGAAATAAAACTTTTTGTGTATTAAATTTTTTGGAGAAACGAATGTCTTTGGCTGTTATTCAAATAATCAAAATTAAACATCATTGACCTCTTGGAAATACCGTATATATTCAGTCTCTAAAATACATGATTTTGACTTTTTTAACATTAATTAATGGATTAACGAAATTACCTGAATACAAATTATATTCGAAGTTATTGAGTTGAGTATCATAGAATTAAAAAAGTTACTGTAATTCCGTTTCATAGCCTGTAGATGTCATTGCTGTGCAACTGTAATTGCATATGTTTTTTTGTTTGTTGTCGTCGTCCCGACGAGTCGTTTTCCGACTCTTTCTTCAGCAGTTAAACGCAGCCCGACTCAAATTTTTTTAATAATAAAAAGTGGAGGCTAACACGTAGCATAAATAACTAGAATTATTGGGAATGATCTACACATGCGCACATTTGACTTGACTCCACCGCTGGATGGAAGGGGAGGGGCAGATGATGCTGTCAGTGAAAGGAGGAGGGAGAGGATTTGGACTATCAGGACCAAAGAGCTGCGCTCGATCCCATGTGTCTGGAAGAAAGAAAATCATCCGTACACAACGGGATTATGAGCTCCTTCTAGAGTAATTCGTTTATTAGGGTCACCCTGAAGTTAAACGTGCGCCAGTGGGATTATTTTCAGTCTTTTTTCTGGAAATAATGCTTCCCTGCTCATCATCCGCGCAGGCGGAGGGATGCGAGGAGGAGAGCGAAGCACACATGGAAACAGAGGTAAACCGATAAAACATACTAACAACCCCACCTTCTTCTCATACAAATCGTTTCTACTGCAGATGAAGCGTACCAGAGTTTTGAAAAAAACACAGTTATTTTACTCTCCGTCTCCAATGGGACATTTTGCCGGCTGGTTGCATGCGCCGGCCGGCATCTCATGGAGGCAGGAGACATGAAAGAGCCAGACCCCTCCCTGGTTCAGTCGCCCCGCACTCGCCATTTTCACGCAAATGAGGAATTACAAGTTAGATTTACTACACCCTTCATTTATTGATCCTCTCTCTCAAAAAACAGGTGTTGAGTAGAGATCTGTCAGGCATTTTAACGGGTTGTAATATCTGATTTGTAATTTTAAGGTGAGAAAATAAATGGCCTCTGGTTTGAATTGTTATTTGTGTATTTAAAAATAATAATAATTCATGCAGGGTATGTGAGCAAACTAGGGAACTATGTATGTAACCCCTTTTTTCATCATTATTATTATTATTATTATTATATAAATGAGACATATAAGGAGCAAAATTACATATTGACCCATCAAAAAAGATACAGTTCTGCGCAAAAGGTTCCTTACACTGAGCTATTAGACATTTTATGTGAAAATAACTAAGTGTATTTTATTTGTATTTTATGTGACAGACCAACCCAAAGCAGTGAATAATTGTGAAGTGGATGGGAGTCGTTTTATTTTTTTCCTGGAAACGGCTTGCATTTGTTTTCAGTCTTCCTAAGTTAACACTTTGCTGAACCACCTTTGACTGCAATACACCAAGACTTTTGGGATAAGTGTCTGTTTACATTAATCAAACAAACTCACTCTCAGATTGTATGAAGTGTGTTTTTGAGCTTTGACTGGGCCGTTCCAGGGTAGCTCTGCCTGGATGTTTTAGGGTTGTTTTATTCCAATATTCCAAGTTTTATGTTTACTACTGCCCTGTGTTTGGCTCCGTTTATCCTCCTATCAGTTCTGACCAACATCATTGTTCCTATACAAGAAAGGTATTCCCACAGCATGACTCTTTAACCACCATATGACACCCTGGTGAGTTCAAGGTGATGTGCCGTGTTAGTAACACAAAAACTTCAATTTTAATCTCCTGTGACCAGAACGCCTTCTTCCACATGTTTGTTGTCCTCTACACAACATGACACATAGATCTTAAAACAGGTCCACTGATGGTTTTCATTCAACAATGGTTGTTTATTTGCGACTTCTTCCTAAAGACCAGATTTGTGGAGTGCATGACTAATAGTTACCCTGTCTGCAGATTATCTACTGTGGAGCCTAAATATCTTGCATCTCCTTCAGTGTTGCAAACGAAATTTAAAATAATATATCATTTGTCTTCCTTCTCACAGTTGTACACTTTTTGATGTACAGTATTTATTTATGTGTATACACCTGGCAAACATATCAGATTTTAAGATTGAGGTTGCTTATTCTATTAATATTATATTTAGTACCCTGATCTTTCAAGACAAAATTTAGATTTCAAGCTACAGTTAAAACTTGTAATTTATTCAATCTTGAACTTAAATTTCAACTTATGAGTACAAACGGACAACATCAGAACAAAAAATTAAAATGATCAGAAATTCAAAAATGAAAGCCAATTTAGTTAACTTTTTTTCTTTCTTTTAAATACAAAAACCTTTTATTTGTTTTAAATTTAAAACTACATAAATTTTTCTGTTGTGAATATTTTGTTGGAAAATGCCAAAGGGTCTAGTGATACTACATTTATTGCCAAATGTTGACCTCTCACATATAAAACTTCAGAGTCATACTGCGTTATAACTTTGCTACAAAAATATGTGTTTATGGTTAATATTACAAATGTAGTGTAGGGGGTGTGTAATGGGTATTTCTTGCTAATTTAAAGTACCAATAATGTGTGTGACCTTTATTACCTTTAGCAACATTTCATGTTTTTTCTGTCTGATAAATCAGCTCACATGTGCACATATTGGTCCCTCCATGATCGAGTTTTCCCTCTGTGATTTATTTAGGTCATATAATCACCCACCTGAGCCACCCTATGGAGGCTGAGGAGACACAATAAAATGAGTCTGAAGGGTCTAAAATGGCTTTGTTTTGGTTTGTAATGTCATTTATGTAGCAGGTAGAAACAACAATCTATATGTAATTGATTGTTTTCTTCCTGCATATAACACCAGTATTGTATCTTGATTAAATAAGTGATTATTTCAATCAACAACTGGTAGTATTCGTTTTTACCCAATAATAAGATCTCAACCTTGTCTGAAATGTTATTAAATGTCATTTTGGGTTGAGAGAAGATGACAGCTTGAAGACTGAGTAGCTGATTAGAGTCACGAGCCTCCCCGATTTGGTCCATTTTATTAATGAATAAAGAGTAGTTTTCTTTGGGGTGCTGATATTCTATTGGTTACCTTGACAGCATCAGTGTCTTTCTGTGTTTCAGTGAACCTGTTACTCTTGATGGGCTTCTTAGAGAAATCTAAGATGACAGTTTGTGAGAAAGCAGGTAGAACTGGGACAAATCTGGGCCAAGAGCTTCCTGCAGCTGGAGCAGAGAAAAGGAGCAGGATGAAGATTTTATCCAGGGAGATCAGTCTGGTTTTGTTGCAGTTTTGAACACAGACTGAAATGCGAACAATTTGTAAGCTACATTTTTTGCCCAAATTAGCTTAAAAGCATTTTATTTGACAAATAATCTCAGTGGGTGTGTGTGGGCTTCTGTATCTTTTGTATGTTACTTATGTTAAACCTCACTTGCAAACAGTGATAATATTTAGTCAGATTAACACTCTAAAAACTATGTGCTGCATATTATTTAGTAGATGTTAATCTTGGTTCCAAAACATCATATGTTGGCCAGGAATAACTATTTTTTGGAAAAACATTGAATCATTGAAAAAGTTTGAAGACAACAAAAGTCTTTCATTTTCTATATGTTGACTCCTTTTGACTGTTTTGTCCTGTATAATGTTCATTTTATTCACTTGTCTCCAACAGTGGATGCCCAGATTAACAGTTTATAGATTTATTTATTTATTTATTTATTTTAAGCTTATGATCTAAACTTGAACACTGGTTAGGATTTTAGATGGTGAGGTTGACCCCTGTGTAGCCTGATTTCTGGAAACCATCTTACTTTTTTTTTTTTTTCTCTTCTCTTTGGTTCCTTTTAAAAGATTGTAGATATTCAGTGATGTCTGGAGGTCTTTTGAACCCACAGGGACAGTTTTCTTTGTCTGCACTGTTGTTGTTTTTGCTGCACGAGAGGTCACTGAATTCTTTACGAGTTCCAATTACCATTTCAAATGAAGCATGTGGATGTCAGCGCAGCGCTGCGGAAACTCCTCCTTCGACTGTGGTCAGTAAAAGTTCTGCTGCATCTGTCCGACAGAGAAAAAGAAACATTTATATGAACTCTGGGGAAGCACAAGAAGATGACACTCAGTTTTTTTTAGATGAGATTGGTGTGAGCAATGGCAGCCATGATTTTTAGTACTGATGGCTGCCTTACTTAAGACATGTAGTAAATGAAAACTCATTTATTTAGAAGAATTTAAAACAGATTTTTTTTACAGACTGGATTTATCCAACGACGTCCGTGAATGAATAACATCACTTCCACCATCTGACACGAGGGTGATGTAAATATAAGATGAACTTTAAGAAGGAAAAAAAAAGCAAAATATTTTTAGTTGAGAGTTTAAAGTATAATTCAGCTGCTGTTCTATTCTACACTCCTGAAAATGCACCATTTTGTCCACTCAAATTTCATTTTCCTGACCTCCAGACATCTCCACAGCCGTCCATTCTAAATATGGAACAGGAAACAATGCAAACCTCAGATACTCGAGGATGTGAGAACAAGCAGCTAATGCCTCTCTTTGATGTGTCTTTGGAGGGCAGCTGTTCACATTATTATCTGTCACTTTCTTGCTGCTTGTTCAGTATCACTAGAAATACTTTACAGTTAACCAAAGTACTGTTTACTGTATAATTACTTGACCTCCACGAGAACAACATCAGAACAATTAAGCTTGTGCACAAAAACAAGTCTCACTTTAACACAATCTGCGCACATTTGAGTGAAGTTGCACAAATGTAGCACAGTTACACTTTGACGCAATATTGAAAATGTTTTTTTTAGATGTACCAGCACAGAGGGGTTTATGATAGATTCAGTAACTGGAAGGCAGCAATTCAAGCCCGTATCATTAGGCTGCCACTGCCGTGCTTTACAGTTGATATGGAATGAGTTTATACGACCGTCTCTCACCTTGTTGTGGAAGGAACTATTGCTTGCAATGCTGCTTCAGATCATTGAAGTTTGCTGATATTTGCTTCTACTTATCTCTTTTAAGGCCTAAGCATAGTTTCTACTACAGCCCTTCTAACCGACCGATACTTGTTGAGTCTCCTGCTGACCGTTTTGTCATTAGCTTCAACATTAACCCGCTAGTTATCCTGAACAAGTTAAAATGCAGCTCTTTTTTGTGAGAGTTTCAAATCTGATGTTTGCTTAGATGTCCACACTTTGGAAGGTTAGAATCTGTGTGACACATTTTTCACAATTAAATTGGTTTATGTTTCACTCAATGCTTGTAAGGAGCTCAAATTCTGTAGCTGGAAAAAGCCCAAATTGTGGGTTTTCTGCCGTCAGGCTGTACATTTGATAGGAGGTGTTTGTGCTGATATGCTGCCTTCCCTCCAAACATAGTGCTGTACATTATGGTCAAACATCTCCCCTTTGTTTTTGTTTTCTTTTTAAAGGCATTAGAAGAAGTCCTCATTGATTGTGCTTCAGGTATTTATTTTTAGAGATGAAAAATGAATACCCGAAGCACCTTGCAAGCTATCTGTTGAAATCTGCTGTATGTTTTTTTTTTTTCCCTGCTTCTTCTTCTCAGTTTTTTCAGAAAAAAAATGTGTGCCGTTGTTGAGCTGAATTATAGTTTGATAACTCGGCGATTGCTGAAAAATATTCAGAATATTGCATATTGAGTTTTTTTCCATGATGACCATTATGTGTGAAGAGCTTAAATTGCTTAGTGTGTTTGTGTAACTCTATCTGGCAGTAGTGGTGACCTGTGTGCTCTGTGTTTTTGTGAAACACAATCTAACGGTCTGACCTGCTGTCTGCTCCCGCAGTGCAACAGGCTGACTGAGGAGAGGGACGAGGCGCAGAGGCAGCTCAAACATATCAAACGAGGTGAGTCCTACTTCCTTCCACCTCCTCCAACAGCTCCATCATCACAGAGACACAACCAAAGCAAGCTGAGATTTGAAATAAGTAGTTCATGAAAAAAAGAGTTGGCTCATTTCAACTTATTAGAATTTTTTTCTCTCTCTCTCTTTTATTAGATACTGGTAGATTTGATTTATTTTACCACATTCTGTGACGCTTAAATATTTCTCTGTGAAGTCAAAGGTTGCATGTTAGGAGAAGAAACAAGCTGGATTCATCACAAGGGTTCTGAATGTAATTGCTTTTTGGTTGTGTTGATAGAGACTTATAATTATAGCTAAAATGGGGAACTACTGCAGATTATGTTTTGTCTTTTTGTGAATGTGAATGGTTTTGCATGGTGCCACTGGAGATCACCACCAAAGAATACCTTTTATATTCCAGGAGTATAAAATTTAATTTCTAGGATATAAAACTTGTAGTTCTTTTAAGGATTCAAAAACAACTTGAGGTTCTATAAAGAACCCAGAAAATTCCCTTTTAAGTTCTGGCATCTCATAGATGTAAGTTTCAGGAAAGCTGTAAAATCTGAAAGCTTTTCCACTGAAAGGTCAGTGAATGTACCATAGCAGGTCCAGAAATCATCCTGGATGTTCCAGTAAAGTAACTTATAGGTTCAGGGAAAATAACTTTCAATTTCCAGAAACATAGCGAGCACTTTCTTGGAAAGCAACTCTCAACCGGCGAAATAACTTGGAAATGCTGGAACCTCACTTTTCAGATACTAAAGAGAATCTAAACTCCTATAATTCTTTTCAGTGTAGAAGGCTGCTAACCTTTTAATGCATCCATTAAAAAAAAAAAAAAAAAACCCATGCAGATTCACCATCCTGCTCATCTTTCTCCTCTCTACCATACCCTTCACACATTTCCGCCTCTGTTGGCATGACATCACTGACACCTTGTTCTCTTAATGGGTGTGTTTAAGGGGGAAAAAAGGGCAGGACTTCTCCGTTTCCATGGTAACTGAGAGGTAACTTAGCCAACACCAGCGGCGCATTTAAGTTCGCAGGAGTTTAACCTTTAAATCCAGACAGTCAAGAGCTGAAACACGGTGCTGCACTCCATCAGATATGACTATTTACAGAGGTAAGAGATTTTGATATTATCTCCTCTTAGCAAACTAAAAAAAAAAAATCTTAATTGGGCTGCATTCATTGCAGAAGATAAAACAAGCTGATAGCTGGTGATAAAGATGTGAACAGAATATTAAATTATGGAGACCAAAATTCAGGTTTTTAAAATTGGCTACAAAAATGCAAAGAGAAATCTTTAAATTTCTGCTAATTTGCATTTTCATGGCTCAATTCTCTCATATTAAAATGATAGGGGTCAGTAGTTCGGGTGAGTCCATTCACCCGGCTGCGACTGAGTGAGACGTTACCTTTGAAAAGGTAACCGGAGAACCCAGCGGTCTCCATCTGGAGGTGCAGCTCAGTGTTTGGTTTCATCTGCTTTTATGAAGCATCTCCTCTTAAACCGATAAGACGATTGGGTTACCCACTAAACCTGCCATATTTTCCTTCTATCATAAGAGCATTTTTGTTCTATAATGACTTTAATGCAATTTGGAGAAGCTGCTCGATAATCAGACTGAGAGAAACATGCATAGAAATGTATTGTCTGTCTATTAGATCTCACTTTAGTGCATTTATATTTCTTAATTAAAGCAAATTTAAAACAAAAATAAACACTGTCAAAGTTATGTTCCACCACCGTAGAAGTGCTTTAGAGATTCCTTTGCTTAACTCTAATGCGTTTTCACAGTTAAATTATTTTAAATAAGAAATTAACTGAATAATAAATGTTTTTTTGTATATTAACAAGAAAAATGTCCTTTAAGGTTGAGGTAATTTCTGCAGCTAACCAAATAGCAAAATACTTTGGCTGAACAGAAACATTTTCAGGTGCAGGTTACATGAATTTTCCTGATTGTCTAGTACTGTCTTACATTGCTGGTAGGAGGTCGACTCTGCTTATTTTCTGTCTTGTTGGAAGCCTTAATTTGTAGGATAACAAATACATGTATGAATTCAAAAGAAATATAGGCAGTGCATGCAAATATGACCAGATGACACTATTCTTCAGGAAAGAATTTGATGAAAAGGTTCTTTGAAATTTAGTTTCTTAACTTCTTGCTGTGAGAGTAAAATGATTATTGAGTATTTAAAGTCACTATAGGACATGTAAAAGGGACCAGAGTAGCTTTGTTCACTGGGGATGGTGTAGAGTTACAAACATACTAAGGATGCATCACTTATTACTCTTTTTGACTGAATGCATGTGACCGTGAAAACCTGGAGAGGAGGGAAAAGTCTTGAAGTGTGACTGAAACTCTCATTCCTCAATGTCAAAACTTCGTCAGCAGCTGCAGAACTGGGTCTAATATTCTCAGTGTAGTCAGCAGAATCGCTGATCCCCGTCTTCATTGCGAGTCTCGTCACTCTGTGCGCTCAGTCTCTCATTCATTCACTCATTTATTCATTCACTGCCCTGCCCCCAAAGGGAACAGCGCTTGCTCTTGTCATGTTATTCTCATTAATTATTGAAGCCTTCTGACATGAATTATTGAGCAGCAGGAGATGTAGAAGGATTAGTGCTAGTTTGGGAGAGTGTTGTCACTCCTCCCCGACCTCTCTACCTGATACTTTAACTCTGATGGCCTTTTTAAATAGTTTTAATAAGAATTGGCCACCAGTCAGCTACTTCAGCTCAGGCTTGTTTGAAACTTAAATGTGAGACTGGATGAGTTTAACACTGATTATGTAGGTAATAAACTAAAAAAAACATGTCATGCTGGACAGGAAGCTTCTTGTCAGCAGTGACCATCTTCCCTGTCTCTGCTGGCGAAAAGCATCCCACAGCATGATTCTGCCTCAAACATGGATCAGCTTGGATCCTTCCACGTACATTCACTCCAAAAGTTGCACTAGCTCACTTTAAAAAAAAAAAAAAAAAAAAAAAAAATTGAAGCATTTTTTTATATAAACCTTGTTTAGAATATCCAAGTTTGTAAATTGGATGTATTGTAAAGGGAAACCATCTCTTTTGTTCATCGAACTTTAAAATATTTCTTAATGAAGCTTAATATCAAAATCAGCTTTATTAGCCAAATTTGTGTGGATAAACAAAGAAATTGACTTCGGTTTTACATTACAGTGTGCAAACAAAAGTCTAAACAGATAAACTTCATGGGAAATAAAATAAAAGGATGAAAGGAATAACATGTTTGCATATGTACAGACAGTTTTACACAGAGAAGGAAAAAAGACAGGCAGTTTGTGGTAGTGCAGCTTTATTATCTAGTTTTCACTGCAGAGTAGCCGTCTACTCATGCGGTAATGTGCTTGTTGTGTTCATTAGAGAGACATCCTGGCGGAAGAAACATGTTTCTGTGGTGGCTGTTTCTTGCAAACGGTGCTCTGTAAAGGTAAAAGTTTAAATAGTGTCCAGGATGTGTGGGGTTAACAGAGACGTTAGCTGCCCCTTTCTTAATCCTATAACTGTGCAAGTCCCGGGTGGAGGGAAGGTCAGCCTTAATAATAATATTTTCCTGTTGTTAAGTCAAAATGAAATGGTGTAGTTTTAAGTTGAGGAGGATTTTTTTGTTTGTTTTTCTGGGCTGACTCCTTAGATAAGCTTTTGAATCAACATGTGCTTAAGTTTTCACATTATGCTTAAAATGCATTTCATTTTAGGCTTGATCAAATACCCCTCCGAATTATTTATTTTAGTTTTGACTGAGGCTTATGGCCAAACATAAACAGGTAATTTTGTGACTCTTTCAACAATGCTTTATATTTTCTTGCGACTTTCCAGTAAAGGTCAGATTTGAATGTTGCTCTTTTGCGTCTGAGCTGAAGAGCTGCTGCGGACGATGAACAAGGCAATAAAAGTTTCTTCGCACTTGTAGGAACTTGTCTATCATTACAAACAAATAAATTGTTTTTTATTCTAAAAAGAAATGTGAAAAGTTAATTTAATTGTTGTTTTAACCTTCATATTGTTTCCACTTAAGCAGAGGTGAGAACAAAAATTGCACTCAAACAAGAGTGGCACTACTTCACAATATTTTCTCAATTAAAACTAAAATATAGCTATCCAAGAAATAAATTAATAGTACAACAATATATATATAGTACTGAGTTATAACTACTGATGTAATATTTAAAAATGATGTAATCAGACTGACAAAAATATGAAGTTATGAGGAAAATTCAGGTACTTTAAAGGCTAATCTAATACAAATAAATAACATAATGACCAAAAACTGGTTCAAGCAGGAGAAACATGTGTTCAAACATGTTTTCAATAAAAAAAACTTGTGAAATTCTTGCGCAAACTTATAGCAGGGAATGTTTAAACAGGGTAAAGTGCAGTAAAGTAAAGTAAATGTAACTACTACCCACCTCTGCTTACAGCCTACTGTACGTTTTGTGGAAATTGACTGTTGTCCTAAGTGGAAGATCATCTCTCCATCTCTGCCTTTCTGTGACGTGTTCACCCCACACGCCTAAAGCAGAGTGGAATTACATTGCGTCTGAACGAATATGAACAAATATGCCAAGGGTTTAAATAAGTCCAGCCCCAGCTAGACCCACCCTGAAGCATTAAACTTTGAATGAAGCATTAAAGACTGACCCAATAGCCTTGCCTGATCTCATTCCCTCCCTTGCTGTCCTTAGAAGAACTCTGGCTCAGACATTTCCTTTAATATTATTAAAACTTAATGTGTGTGGCTTATAATCTCTTTCCTTGTTGTTGTTTTTTTTTTTGGTTGGGGGAGGGGAGGCTCGGTTCTAATTGTTCTGATTCTTTTACTTGTCCAGTGAATTCTACAAATAGAGAAGTTAAACTTTAATCCATCTTCTAAAACAACATTATGTCTCTGAGATCCGAGCAACCAGTGTTTTAAAATAAAAGGGGCTGATGTGATCCCTACCTAATTTCTGTGCAGCTTGAAATGAAAGCATCTGTCTGTGCTATGGATATCGGATCAATATAAAGCCGGCCGCCGCTGCTGTGCGTCCGCAGCTGCAGAGTGGTATCCTACAGAGAGCCTGCTCCATAAAATCATTTCACTACTTGCAATCACATTAAAACCAGCGGTCCCTCTCCTGTATGTTCATCTTGCTCCCAGGCTACATCATCTGGTGGAAAAGCATTAGTCATGTTCACCTGAGTAGCATGTGCAATCCAGTCAGAGGGAAGCATAATGGACTCGTGCCTCGGGCCTTCACTGACACAGATCCAGGTTTATTGTGGCTTTAGTCCCATTGGCTTTTTTTATTACTGCTCAGCATGAGAGCAAACCAGGAGGTCCAAGCATTGAAATTCCATAACTGGCATGTCCTGATGCTGATGCTGATGCTGATGCGTCTTTATTCTCTGAAACGAAATAAATCCTGGGTTTTTAAATATGACAGACTGATGTTGCTCTTCGTGAGCTCTAGCTCTGGATTTTTCCAAACGCATTACAGAGGGACTTTATTTAAGAATAGAAACATTTCTGACATTTCTTCAAGACCTTTTTGCCTTTTATACCCTCAAGCACTGAAAAGGCAACATCACCTTTCATGTAAACAAAGTGAGTTTGTGGTTGAAAAGTTAAAGGTTAAAAGAAGTCCACAAAATGACATCTACTGTGCTGTAAATGTGATTAAAAGTGTTGGATTTTCTTTTTCTTTGCTCAGGCTATATTTGAAACTTTGGTCAAAAGCGTCACATTTTCTTTGGGTGAATAAAGACAAAGACTGGTCTCGTCTTTCACCCACTGAGATTCTTAAAAACCTCCAAATTGAGACATTCAGCTGAATTATTGATCAGATACCCGAATAATCACAAATGACTTGATGTGGCGAAGCAAAAGCTAAGAATTCAGATCTTGTTCTCTCAGTCGTTATTCATATCTCATGGTCATAGGTAAACCCTGAAATGTAGATGGATGAGTAAATCTCCTGCTTCACCACAACAGAGAAGAGCAACACCCTCATTACTGAAAAGTGTTAAATATATCCACCTCCAGCTCTATCCAGACGTCACACAGGAACAAGACACCAAAATGCTTTATCTCCTTTGTCTGAGGCAGAGATTTATCCCCGACCCGAAGGAAACATACAACCTTTTTGCAGTACCATTCTCCCTGAGCAAAAGGAGCTGGCTCTCAAACCTGAGCAGAAGTGGCCGCCAACGCTCATTGTTTAATAGAAGCCAGGATTCTCGGTAAAAAACAAAACTTTTCACCAAAAGACCCCCGCCTCCGACACTACCCTTTAATTTCTGCCCTGATGAAAAAAAATAGTCAGAAATCGGTTACTATTTAGAAAAGAATCCTTAATTTATGGACTAGTTTTGATACCGTGTTTTTCTCAGTTACATATCTGTGCACAGAGGAGCTGTGATACTGATCTGTACATAAAAGCCCAGTTTCTACAATAACATGACAGTGTATAATAACAGACTCTTTGAGGGTGGACTGATCATAGTATTTCAGGCAGAAGATCATTTTGTTGTCTGTTTGAAACCTGACGGTGCGTTCAGTAGGCAGGAGGGCTTCACTTACAGCCTGCTAACAACCAGTGAGGAAGACGGAGGACATGCAGCCGGTCATTACTGGCTGAGCTGATGTCAGTGACGCTCAGAGCCAATGATCACTAGTCTTACTCATGGCTTAATCATGGTGAATGCTGAAATTCAGTTTAAAGGTTAAAAACACAGGTCAGTTTTTCTTTACTATTGGTGACTAGCCTTCAGATCTTACAGAGTAAGAAAGTGGGATGAATCATTGTGTCACATTTTGAGTCAATTATTAGAAGACTAAACTTAGACAAACTATGCAATTCCTGTCAGATAAATGTTACAACCCAGAAACGACATGGTATGTCATCACATCAGATTAATTTGTTCTTCATTTTGTTTTCCAATTTTATCTATTTTATCTCCATGAAGTCAATTTATGTACATTTTAACAGCTGATCCCTTCTTTTATTCTTATTAACATCTCTTAAAGTATACTTAAAACTTATTTCACCATGTTTGTTTTCTTATCTTCACAGTTTTTAGTTTATTACAAAACACATACAAAATCACAACAAAGAGTTTGGCACATATGGATATTTTGCAGCTGACTTTAACCAATACATACAGGATCCATTTGTCATGTTCATTTACACAATTTTTAAGTGATTTTTCTATACTCTGCTCTACAAGAAAATCTTGTTTTGCAAATCCGTACATGGTACCTTCCAGTAGGGGGTTGCTCACTGTTCTTTGGGTCGGATCGGGGGAATACAATGCAATACGTTGCAGAAGCAGACACAAACCAACAGGAATAAGGAACACTTTCAATCAAATCATAGGTAACTGTATTCGAGTATTTTATTATTATTAATGATTATAGTTCATGACTATACCTAACTAGCAAGAAACACAAACAGCTAAGCTATGGTTAGGTGCAGACTTGACCATAAAGTATAGAGAGGCAGACCTGTAAGAAATGTTGGTGTGATATGGTGAACTGATCTGGAGTTTTGGGGAAATTGTGCTGTGACCTATTATTTCCCAAAAAGCAATGGAAATAAGCTTGGAAAATTTCTTGCATATGCAGTAACGGAAATCCAGTCCTTTGTCAAACTTCACACCTCAGATCAATTTTACAGTAGAAACATCCTCAAAGTTTTTAAAGGACTGAATTGGCATTTTGAGACCTTTTACATCACCCCTATATAACTTTTATGACCATAGACTGTTTATCTTTTGACCTGGAGAAATATTCAGATTCTACAACTTTAGCTTTATTTGTAGAATTTAGAAATATAAACGTTGCCTTTTAATCTACTTTTATGCCTTTATGTCTCCCTCTACTAAACGGCCTACATTTTATGTCAACCCCACCAAAGCTACACCAAAACACAAATTCACTCACATAATATTTAAATCAAGACTGACTTTAACCTGTAATACCTCCTCAACGAAACACTGTGGAAAAATATACGTGTGCTGATTGTGCTCACATGGTGTTTCTGCTTTTCACAGCTGAAGGATCTTTTGTTGTTCATTCAGTCAGTGCGTTTTCCTGCAGCTGATCCTTTTAAAAGATTTTCATCCCATCAAATGAAACTGGTTTCATTTCCTCAAAGTCTTGTCCTTCTCTTTTGCTGCTCCCATTTCCTGCTTCTAGTTGATTCATACAGCACTTAACTCTCAACTAAAAGATTTTCACGACTAAAAGACTAATTCAACAATTGATCTTGATTACATTAAGATTTATAATTGGATTATAAACACATTATAAACACATTTGATCTCCAGTCTCTGCTAAAGGCAAACTGGTTTTCCAAGTGGGAAAAACTACAATTTATCAGAAGTGACACCCTTTCCTTTTATCTTATCAAACACTTTTGCTCTTTGTGTGCTTTCACAACCATTGTCACCATGAATAATGTGACTGAAACATTCTGGGGGAGGCAGATAACAAGTCATGGATGACAAAGATCTAGATGATCCACAGATTCCAGTGGGTGGGTCACAGGACTTCAGCGATTCTGAAAGTGTGCCGACCAAAAAAGGTTTCTAATCCAGAAACTCCCCATCAGTCAGTCAGGAGTGAAGAACTTTCTCAAACCCACTGGAGAGCTAAGAAAAGAGAAATCCACATGCTTTCTGTTTGAAGAGTCATCAGTTAGTGATGGATCCCAACGCCATGGTCATAAAGGAAGATAAAGGTACGGTGATGCAAAGCTCAGGATTTTAGAAAGATTTCGATTAAAACAGCCTCTTTACTAACTGGAATAGTTATTCAGTGACTGCTGTAGTTTTAACCTGGATTTCCTCCATATTTAGGTCATTCTAAAATAACTGAGGAGTAGTGAATCTCTGAAGATGAACTGGTTTTCAGTACCAAGTTGAAAACCAGTCTTCTATTCACATTAGATTCTTCTGTCTATAAGGATCCTTTTTTTGTTGTTTTAGATCATTTTTTTGCTTCTCAAATGGAGACTACAGAACTGTGTGCAATAATTACTTCCTTTCAAACTCAAACACTCACTATTCATTGGATCTACTTGCTTCTTGCTGCTGTATTTGCAATGGGGTTTTCTTAATCGTTTTGTCTTTTCATCTTGCCCGACTTTCTTAATCTGTAACGGCTTTGGGAAATTTAAAAAGTTGATTTGTTCATGAGTATGAGAACATAAGAAGCAACAGACAACATGGCAATGTGTGACTATCATATTGTGACGGTCTAAAGAGGTTTCAGTAGAAAGTTTTCTTAACGACCCTATTGAGGAAATTTATTCTCATGGATCTTTGATAACCTGATGTTAAAAGCTGTTTGAACTGCAAGAAAGGCATATGAATACAGATCTGTGAAACTGAAACCATCAAAATAAATCTGTTTATTTTTATCATTAGCCTTTTAAGTCTTCTACAGATCAGAATGGGAATTCTGGGAATCACCTTTTTCACAGTGAAACTCAACTTTTAGCTAAACTAAAGAGGTGGGAACAAATCTTTCATGTCAGTTTGCAGGTAACAAAGTTTCTAACGTCCAATTCAAAACAAGTTCATTAAGTTTTCAGTTATGTTTAGACATCAGGCTTCTTTATGCCGGAACAAACATGGGTCAGAGCAAGGAGGCTTAACAAATCATGAACATCCTGTGAAAATTGTCAGAACTAGACTGAAATTTATGTAAAAGCACCAAACCTCCCAATAATTCTTTGAATGATATTGTGGGATGCTTCGTGCTGTGGCAGTGGGCACCTACATTACAGAGTGTCTGTCTCTGTGTGTTTCTCACTAGTTTCTCAGATGGTGATTGAGGAGGTGGGCGTTCTGCAGACTCAGCTCGAGATTGAGAAGTCTTGTCGAGAGAATGCAGAGGCCCTGGCCACGAAGGTTTGTCTCACACCTTAACACTCAGTAATCGATGCAAGATAATCAGCAGTGTCAGGTGGCGCAGGCCAGAGAATGGGGGCAAACAGATGAGTCAGGATGACTCTGCAGAGCCGTTCTCATTATATCATCTTTGTGTTAATGTGAAAGCAACTGGATTTATTGAAGTGACGTAAAGAGTAAATGGTTGAACCAGGATGCACCTGAATTTAGTTGCAGAACAGGCCTCTTACTGTTAATCCCTGTTATCTTTGATGCGCAGCTAAATTGTGAGAACAGAAAATTGAAGTACCTGAGCCTCTCGTCTCGGCCTTGTTTGGATGAGCTGCTGCCAAGCATCTCTGACTGCATTGCGCTCGAAGCTGACGGAGACTCTGCAGATTCAGTGGGAAACAGTCCTGACACCTTCTCTCAGTGCCAGCAACAGGTTAAAGGTAACACCAAACACCAAACTGCATATTTTTAGCCAAAATGGCCTGACATTGTGTGTCTCACCAAAGCCTCTCGTTCTTGATATGTTCATTTTCATAATGTCACATTTTCCAGACTCCTTTATCTTTCTGTTTGTCTTTAGTTTAATTCACCTTATGAAGTGACGATTTCATTTATTATGAGGAAAAGCCTATCTAAATGAACTTGGGTCTATTTGAAAAAGTAATCACTCCAAGAGCACATCATTCACTCATCCAGAAAGTCATAAAGTAACCCAGAAAAACATCGAAGACTCTGTAGACTTTAATAATAAAGAAAGAGTCTCAAATGGCTGAATTAAAACAATCCTGCAAAGATACCGAATCAAAATATCTCCACAGTGACAGAAAAACTCACTGTAACTCATTGCTAGTTTAGGGGGGTAATTTTGTTTAATAAATAAATAACACATTTTACAAACTGCAAAACGTTGTTCCACCAGAGTTGAGAGAGACGGTAAACGGTTTACTGGAGGAGAAGAAAGGTTTTGTCTGTCAGATTCACGAACAGCAGAGGCAGATCGAGGAGTTGACCACACAGGTGAGAATGGATCTACACACACGCCCTCCTCTTATGAAATGTTTTGACTCCTTACTTCTTCTTCAAGTGATGCTGAGTTCGTGGCATTTTGTTTTCCTCTCACCAGTCTGAGAAAAGTCAAGAGGAGATGAAACAGCTTCGTGAAACAGTCGAGCAACAAAGCAAAACAATCAAGAGATTTAACAGAGGTAAGTCACAGGCGAAGGGACTTATGAGTTTACAACCAACTTAATTAGATAATAGATCATAAATAACCTAAATACACCGTAAGCAGACAAGTTTTAAGGCATCTACACACTTTTCAGCACTTATGTCTTGAGATAGATCACAAATTTACAACACAAAACTTCAATGTAAAAAAAAAAACAATTTCACATATTTTTGAGAACATTCATGGTGAAGAGTGAAGACAGTTTGAGCAATTAGTGAGTTAGTAACATGTTAAATTTGACATTAATGCTATGTTTGTGGCTTAACCTCATATACTCTGTATGTTTCTACAGTCTCTATGATGGCAGCTCAGGAGTATGAAGGAATGAAGGAGCAGCTTGATTTGGAGCAGGACCTCAGAGTCAAAGCTGAGACGTACGCACACGAGGTACAGAAGGAGGTTATAGAAACACTGGATTAAAACTGTAGGAAATAATATTCAAACTGTTTTAGACATTTATTAGACGTGGTGGAAACACAGGAGCTGCAGCTATTCCCTCAGTCTACTGTAATTCATAATTTTTGAGACCAACCTAATAACTTGCTTATATAATCTGAGTGATGAGTTGCCAAATGTTGCAGCTGCGATCCGTATTGCCATGTTGGAATTTGATGTGTGATAATAACCTGAGAAAGGTCCTATGTCGGGTGTTTCATACAAACTTTGAACATAGCTGATAAATGAAGATGATGGCAAGAGGGCTAATGCACGTTTCCTCTTTTCTTTCCAGTAATCGCCTTTTTTCTCTGTCTCTGCCTCCTGTTTTTTTTTTTTGTTTGTTTGTTTTTTTCAGATGCTTGTTAAGCAGAAGGAGGCCAATAGGCAGAGCATGCTGCTGCTGCAGAGTGCTGAGCCCAGCGTTCAGCTGCTGAAAGCTCTGGAAGACATCGCTGCTATCACTAAAACCCTGGAGGAGGAGCGTCTGCAGCATCAGCAGAAGGTAAATCCAAAAGCCTCTTTATTTCCTGCAGCCTTACTCTTAATGTCAGGAGAGGCTAGGATTTGTTGATCTTTATGACGTTTTTGCCGGTGCAACGAGTGCAAACCGAAAAGCTCTCAGTGAATCAGGCAGATATTCACATTTCAAATGAAAATGACAAAAGTGTGTAAAATTTCCCTGCAGCAAAAGGAGTTGTAGAAGAGCAATAATAAGCCTTTTTCTTAAATCAGAAACACTATGTGCAACAGGTCACACAATGCAAGGTTGTTACTTGAACAACGCCAACAGAACCACAGGCTGATGCCACGCTGCATATTGGTATAATAATTCATGCGAAGCAGCTTTAGTATTGAGGTCAAATATTGTAAAACTCCCTGAGCTAAGTTGCTGAAGTAAATAAAAATTTAAATTACATTTTAAGTTGTGGAGATGCACCTGAATCCATTTGACCTTTTATTTGTGCTCTGTTGAGAATTTGATTGACTCACTAAACACTAGATGAAAAGAAATAGTTTGCTACATATAGTTGGTTTGATCTATGCAATGAAATCAGCCTTAGCTTTAGGACTAGCACCAATCTAAATAATCAGTGTTGCATGATGCTGAAAACCTAAAGGCTAATAGCAGACCTCTTTTAACCCTGCTCTGTATCTGTCTGACTTGTCTACTTGTGGGGCCGTAGGTGCAGAGTCTGGAGGTCCAGCTTCAGGAAAGCGGTGTGAAGAAACAGCTGCAAGACCTTCAGAGACAGCTGGAGCTGCTGGAGGTGGAGAAGAAGGAGGTGGAGGGACGTCTGGAGCAGACAGATAGGAAGAATGAGGAGCTGGAGAAAAGAGGTGGGTGGAAGTGGAGATAAGGCCGTTTGTAGGCTAAAAAAAGAGCAGACAGAATAGTACTGTAATTAAAATCTGCATAGCAACATAAAATACTGTTTCCTGATTAGCAGGAAAATAACTAAAAAATTCCATCCATCCAAAATTGTTTTTCTAAAAAGGAAAATAAGAATTTACATGAAAGTTAAAGCTGTAATTTAAAATAAAATTATCAGCTGTAAGGTCATGAATCTGTTGTTGGGAGGCGAAATAAAGTGATGCAGTTGTGCATTTATGTAACAGTTGTTGATTTCACTGATGCCGACACAAATTTTTGACCCCTGAGCTGCATGAGAAGCAGTTCAGTGAGGTCACACAGGGCCTAAACCACAAGCTGACTTTAGCTTGAATATTATATAATAAATCAAAAGTTCAACCTTCTTTTTATGGGTTGCATGGCTTCCAGTGTTAATGTGTTCATTAATATTCTGCAGAAATTATCTCTAACCGTCTCATTGCCGTATCTGCGGTACTTATTAGCCGTCTGACAGTGATAGTGACTGAGGTTGTGGTTTGATCTGTCGTCTCTTCACAGTCCATGAGCTCCAGGAGGCCCAGAAAAAGACAACAGACAACACCAGCCTCCCTCCCCCAGAACCTGGGGTGGCGCCGCCTCCCGCACCTCCTCCACAGCCGCCTCCACCCCCTCCACCCCCACCACCTCCTCCGCCACCTCCACCCCCCTCCAGATGCAACCCCCTCAGGTGAGACTTCTCAACAAACAGCAGATACTTAGAAGTATCACAGTCGGGGGGGAGGTTGCGATGCAGCAGCACATCTTATTTCCTGCGTTTAAACTTTAAACATAAAAAAAAACTGACAGAAAATATTCACAAGCAGCTCAGATAACGAGTGAGCAGTTCTTACTTCTAATGAGATTTTCTGTTTCTTAGTTCTCTGATTGCCATCATGAGGAAGTCATCCAAAGGCTCCAAAGCAAAAGTGGAGCCAACTCCAGGTGAGAATCGATTTATAGTTTCCATTCAACAGCCAGTCAGCCAGCACCTTATTCCTTTGCTTCATGATCCAGTCTAGTGACAGATCACTTATTTAATCAGCTTTTATTTTGGAATTGCTACTGTTTCTGTAGTGATATGTAATCGGCCCTATGGGTTTTCAATTTGCACATTTGGGTATTCCCTCTGTGTTCCCTAATTACCCCTGTCTGGTTGTCATATAAATAAGTCATAATCTTCTCTTTCGGTGTCGGCAGCTGCTGAAGGCGTGGACGATGTCAAGGTGAAGGCGGTGAATGAGATGATGGAGCGAATCAAACACGGGGTAGTCCTGCGACCCGTCAAAAGTCAGGAGACTAAGGTGAGAACAGCATCTAAAAACTGGTCTTATATTTGATATAAGGTCAAATAACTGGTCAGGCCTCTGTGATGGCCCCTCCAGACACTGATTTTATTGTCATTAGGCCAGTAAAAATAAAATAATCTGACTTGACATGAGTTGATGCAGCTCCTCTCCACACTTTCATTGCACACATTGTGCTACAAAGTCAGTAAACATGTGGCGCTCTGCTGTAGAGCTTGTATTGTAATGTAAGTGACAGAGGGCATTTTACAGCACAGTATCCGCAGCAGGAGGCCGACAATCAGCTCAGAAATAATCACACTGCAGAGAAAACTCAACCATACTGCATCCTGCGATCTATTGTGACAGTTCAACTCAAGTTATGCTTCTAGATGAAGATAATTTGAGCAAGTTTCTAAAAATGTTTGACAAAAAAAAATCTTTAGAAGAAATCATGAGCTATTGCTTTGAAATTGCCCAGCTGCTGTCTGTAGACGGCATTGTGACACCCAGATATCGCTCCTGGCTGAGGAGGGTCGCAGCAGGTCAGTGGGTGGTCCTTCAAAACGGATTACATCACTAAACTAAAGCAGATACCACCTCCCAGGGTGGTCTGGGATAACAAACGTCTCCAACGCTGCCAGGACACGATCAGGGGATGAATGTTAGCACCAGGTGTGAATGGGCTCTTTGTCTTCTCTCAGTATGCCACTGTTGTCTCCTACTGTGTTTTTTTTTTTTTTCTGGCTGTTACTTGTATTTTCCTGCTGTCGGAGCTTTAATTATGCTAATAATGTCACAAATCTCAAGCAGGGAAACCCAGATTGCTGTTTCTTTCCTCTTCTGTCCTGGTTCTTATCTTGTTATAAAGACCAGGATGTCTAATGATTCTCTTAGGACTCTGATTGTTCTGTGTCTCTTCTCTTTCCCTTCTGCTTTCATTTCTTTTTGTGCTGCAAAAGAGAATAGCAGTGAAAGTGAGTATATTGATGCTTGCATCAATCAGGACAGTCAGATCATTCCTACCTGCAGTCGCTCTAAACCCGGCAACCTAACTCTGCTTATATTACATTAAAATGGAAACATTTTGCGGCATGTCAAAGCTTTTTAATCATTAAAACGCACGAAAAGTATTTTCTCAGACCTTATCTTAAAATTATTCTCTAATAATGTGAAAAGTAGGAAATCACAAGCTTTTTTTCTTTTTTTCTTTTTTTTTTCCCCTGCAGCCTCCACCCTGTGAGGAGAAGCAGCAGGAAAGCGCCATGGACGAACTAAAATGCATCCTGGTAAAATACATATTATACCAAGTGTTGAAGATGTGGTTTCAGATTTTAATATTTTTATTTCGTTTTTTAGTTTCTGTACAGTTTAAGTTCACTTTAGTCTGACCAACAAGTTAGAGAGACATAAATGATAGATGTACTTTCATCGCTGTCCGTTAATGCTGTGACATTTCCGTTCTGCTCAAGGAGACGGTGAAGAGGAGTCCCAGCCGAGGCTCCCAAGAGTCTGGACCGTCTGGACCGTCACCACCGGCGAAGAAGGACAGCGAGCTGGAGGTCATCCTGAGGCGCCGGCGCAACAAGGCTGGAGAGGCCGGATCAGGAGGTGAACCCATCCATCCAGCCAGAAGCCCAGCCTCATGCTTCATAAGGACACAGCAGGACATTATTAATCAGTGTCATAATTAATAATGTGGTCATTCACACTACTACTTAAATCCAACATCAGTCGAGCTTCTGTGAACATTTTATGTCACGAAAGCGACTCGCATGTACAGAAAAAGAACATAGACTTCACACTGCAATGCATTGTTTACAGAAATAATAATGTAGATTATTACTTCCGCCGTCTTTGGATCAATTTAAAGTGGGAGCCGGCAGTATTGTCGCAATAACAAAACAAGATGAAGAAAACTAATAAAAAGAAAGCACAACTACTAGCGGAGGCCTTTTATGGAGCATTGACTGGATGTGGGATTGTGATGTGACACACTTCAGTGACACAGACTTCTTTCATAGGTTCGTAATTTTTGTAATTATAATTTTCAGCCATTGTATCTGGCTTTTTCTGGTGCAGAATTATGACGTATGTTACATCAAAGTTGGATAAAAAGTGACATGGCAATTCAGACATCCAACGCTTTAAAAATGACCGGATTCTTAACCGATTTAGTAAAATAAATTTAGTAAAGTAAAAGTGGCACAGATCAGATTCACTATAATTACTATGTTGTTGTTTTTTGTATGTGTGTGAAAGGATCAGAAGTCAGGAGTTCAGACTGCTGTGATAAAGTTGCTGTGTGAATGTAACCTTAGATACCCGTCACCTCCTGTTCAGCAGTGAATATCAACAACCCCCTAGTTTCTGTCCTTTAAGGCAGAAATCCATCTGTGTTTTTGTTTCTCCTTTCCACCTCCAGATGAACGTGAGGGCCAGATGAGCCACGTCTCTTCTTTTGACAGCTTGAATGGCAGACGCACCAGCAGCGATTCGGGCAAAGATTCAGAGGGAGCGAGCGGCCAGAGCGCCCCCTGTGAGGCGGCAGGAATCGTCCGGGTCAGTCCAGACAGAAGGGGCTCCGGGCCGGGCCCCGCGGTGGCCCCAAGGAAGCGCTCTGACCTGGAGAGGAGGTCCTGCAGCTCTCTGTCTGAAAAGGAAATGTCAGAGTCTCCGGTCAGCAATGGCTGCATCAGCAGGTGAAGCATCTCAGCGTCTGTAATATGAGGAACAAATGATCAGTTAGTTTTAAATATGTGGAGCCTTGAGTTGTCGCATGCTAACCAATCAGTTTTATTCAGCCACCAGCGTCGGTACTGGAACCAGTGAACTGTTGTTGGGGTTCATCTGTAGCAACGATGCACATCTATGCTGTGTTGTTTTTTTCTATTATTCTTGACAGTCATTTAAGATCAGTCAGATTGGAGGATTAGCATCTGCAAACATCAATTTCTAATTCTTTCCATCAATTCTTAGTCTGATTTAGGTCTTGATTTGACTAGACCATTGTTATGTGCTTCGGGCACATTATGATTTTTGTCTACTTTTGTTTTCTTATAGACCTTGATTAAATGACATTTTGTAAATATAATTTGGAGTTTGGATAATTTCTTTTTGGATATTTAATTACGTTAATTTGTGGTGCTGTTGGTCCGCCTATAAATAGGCTGGCTTTCAGCATGTAGGGAGCCTCCCTTCCATTCCCGCCTGGGCTCCGCCTCTCCGCTTGCTTCCGCTCGCTCCACCACCACCAGCTGCTGTGGGCCGCAGCTGAGGGTTCCAGCCTGCCATGCGGTATCTTTGTTAACCTTTGTTTGTTTGTTTTTTCGTTGTGATTTTGGCCTGGTGGGACCGATTGTCCTGTTTTCGATCTTTCTTTTGCATTAGGTTATTTTTGTTTTAGTCCGGTACGAGTAGGGGCTTCGACGGCCCTGTATAGGGTTGGCCCCCTGCTGTACCGTTTTGTTATGTTTGATCGGCTCACCAGGTGCACCTTTCTGTTACTACTTTCGGGGTTTTGTTTTCTTTATTTTTCTTTGGAACACGGGATTTGAGGGTTTGAATATTATTTTCTTCACAGAGAAGCAGAAGAACCTGAATTAAGAAAAACAAAGTGAAGAGAATTTATGAATAAAATATTTTGTTGAACCCTCATCTTTTGTCTCGTGTCCTCAAGTATGTTGTGCCCTTGGTGGACGTAACAACCATTCAAAATAATAAGCTTTAAGATTTAAATTCATGCACACTTAAGCCTTAGATGTATGTTTTTGACTCCGGGTTGTATCTTTGACAGCATTTAACTTGTTCCATCCTCCCTTCATTTCTGAGCAGCTTTCTTGTCCCTGCTAGAGATAAGCAGAATCCACAAGCATGATAGTTCCTCTACCATGTTTAAAACTGCAAATTGGTCTTCCTGTGTTTTTCTTTTTACCAATGGCTTTCTTCTCACAATAAGGACAAGGATGCTAGAGTGTTGTCTCATCAAAAGCTTATTCAGGAGAGCTGTAGATTGCTGCAGTTCTCCCATTGTTATCTCTTCTCTGACCTGTTTACTAATTAAGTGACTTCTAAAGGTATACTAATGTTGTTTTAGGGGTGCAAGAATAAGGTGGACTGCGCCTTTATCTCAAGGGATATGAGTACTTTTGAAAGTGGTTTTGAACACTAAATCACATATCGGCGGCTCTTCTGTCTCTGCTCCACAGCACTGATGAGGAAAATCAGATGAAGTCGAACGGAGTTGACCACGAGGAGCCTGGCAACGGCGACCACGACGAGCACGTAAACATTAGCGCTGACGCCGACTGCTGAGATGAACTCTAGCGGGTTTCATTCTGCGATGTGAACAGAGAGAAGTCAGAGCAATGAAACACATTTGCCTTTTTACAATTATGGTATCAAATGCGCATTGAAAATGTTGTTTATTTTTATTTTTTGTCATATTTACACTAACCACATACAAAAAATAGGCAACTAACCGCAGTAATAAAAACAAGCCACAGCTGGTCCATTCAGGTGTTTTAGCTACAAGATACTTCCAGAGTTTTCATAAATTGTTCTGAAATAGACATTCATAACAGAGTCCAGGTTAAAATGCTCAAGAAAGAAACCTAACTAACAAAGATTAATTCTTGATTTACCTGGAGTCGGTAAAGAGCAGAGGAATACTTGTTCAGCTGCTCATGCAGTCAGTGAACCTGACTGATTTGAGCCAGAGGAAGCTGCAGCCTTATGAACCAAAGTCATCTTCTACTATCTGCAAAAACCTCAATTGTAGCTTCTATTTTATCTCATTTTGACGAGCAAACGATGCTCTCGGTTAAACTTTATGTCATCAGAAAGAATGCACCGTGTTGTTAGATTTTTCTCACCTTGTGTGCAGCATGGTGCAGTTTAGCAGCTCTGGTAGACGTGACACCTGTAGTACTGAATTTCAGTGGATTAAAGCGTCAATTAATCCTATTAATAATTTTATTTTTGCTTTTCCTGCCGCTACATATTTGTTTAGGGTTTAGCTACTTTTATACAATAAAAGTGTTTAATTCTTACTGTGGTTTAGGAACTTACTGGAGTAAAATTTTTAGGATGCTTAATATCAGCTTTATGTCCATATCCAACATACAGATAGATAAATTCCTACAAAGGCTGACTGATATAGATGCTGATAAAGATATACTTCCCTTCACAACTATTGGCACCCCTGACAAAGATATGTGAAAAGCCTTAAAATATATTCAGCTTTCATTTCAGGAGCATTATCTCATACAAAAAAGTAAAGAAATTAAAATCTACTACATAATTTGAGTAAAATTATTCAGGGGGCAGAAAAATATATCAGGTGTATAAAATAAACTTTTTTGGTGAAATCAGCAGTTCCACATTTACTATGTAAAATGAGTATAACTCAAGATTTTGTTTTTATAGTTTACTTTTTATATGACCTGGTTTTCCTAAAAACGTTCATAAGTAATCCAGACACTTCCGTTTTCTGAGATTGAAATATTTCCCTTGGCTACCTGTCAAGATGGAAAAGTCAATAAAAACATAGCATTAAGTCTTCATATGTTGGAAAATTCTTAGAATAAAATACTGAAGTTCCTATCTAAGCTGGCCTTTACCATCTTTAAGAGCAATAATTAAGAAGGATAATCAGGGTTAGAGAACTGCAACAAAAAGCAAGAATAATCATTAAGTGCTGTTAAGTAGTTGTGAATGATGCCTTGGTAAAAAAAAAAAAAAAGTTTTCAGAATGATTTTTTTTGGGCACAAACACACCAGATGGAGTTGGTGTGGAACAAGGATGAACATGGGGGAAATCACCTCACACTGCTAAGTAAGCTTGAGAATCACAGGGTCTGTGATTCTGCGAGCCTGTTTCTCTTCTAACGTTCCTGCAAACATTGCACAGCATCATTGGGTCTGTCCACATAATCTAAAGTTTATGGCCAAATCAGCACATAAATGGTTTGGCTGACACATGACCAAACTTTTTTCATGGTTATCTCAACCCCCAGAGTTAAATCCTATGAATCTAAGAGAGATCAAAGAAAGGGAAACCTTAGAGAGAGCCCAAGACAATCTGGAGAACTTGTCTCTGGACCATTGAATGGTCAAAGATCACTCTCTCTTTATGCTCCAAACTTTAGAAGATTCTTTGTTTTGCAAATATCAGAAGGGAATTGTACAACATATTAACAGGAGTGCCAATAATTGTGCTACTGGTGACTAATATATATATATTTCTTAATGTTTTTTTTTTTCTGTACTGGCTAAAAGGTTTGTAGAGTTCTGTTTTATTTTAAGCAGATGTCAGCTTCTGACAGAAGCTTTGTAACACATAAGCTGAGATATTTGAGTAAATGTACATTTTTAGTCAAGCTGCCTTCAGTTGTGTGACCCTTTAAGTGTGCAACCCCGACTGTTGTATCGATCCTGAAGTTCTTTTGTTAATCCAAACCTGTTCCTGAGCGCAAACACCCAGGAATATGTTTTCACAACCAGGGTTCCTCTCTTCCACTTTTGCTGCTTCAGTTTCAGCTCCAGCGTGTCGACTATCAGCCTGACAGGTGAGAGAAGTTTGTAAAGTGGAGACATAAAATTGAATTTGATTGACATACATCAGTAGGAGTAGATGTAGCACATTGAACAGGAACGTTCTCAGGATCCAAAGGACAGATCTTCACCAGGTCTGGGGAGTCGACGTTGAGGAAAACCAATGGAAAGCCATGTTTTCTGGTTAAATGTGGAGTAGAAGTGCTTTGGAGGAATGAGGTGCTTTTGTATTTTTCTCTACCTCTCCACTGACACCTGCCTCTACACTGAAACATTCTAGAAACATCCGTTTGTAGCATGAAAACTCGTAAGATGCTGTCGTAGTTCCTGCACTGGAGATCAGACGTCTTCCTGCTCTAAATCAGCACTGAGCCCTGCAATGCACATATTGTTATGCTTATTGTGCATTCCTTGACTTTTCTTTTCTACTGTACATTTACAGTTTTTTCTGAACACCTTTATGCAAACTACGTGAGGCACCTTTGTATGACGCTATCACACACCTTGTCGTTCTTTCTTAACTCACAAACTCACATTTTAAAGTGCATCTTGTTCTGTTCGTTCGGTGTATTTTACTCATACAGAGGACCAGAACTGTATGGTTCTGCTACATATACAGAGTTGGGTTTTCTGCGCAGTGAGGCCTTGCACAAAACCTCCGCATAGCAGAAAAATACAACCTGCAGCTGGGTAACATTTTGCATCCTCTGAATGACTGCATTTAATAATAATGTGGCTACCTTAAGGGATTTCCTGTATGCCGTTGAGTAGGTATTGTGTGCTATTGGAAATATAAACGGAGTGTTGAAGGTTTTTTAACTTCATGGGTTTTCATTTTAGAATCACTTGAAATAAAATGCAATTTAAAGAAATGAGCTGTTTGTCTTTTTTTTTTTTTTTTTTTTTTTTTTTTTTTAAGAAATTGGCACCAGTCACAGATAATTATGGGAATTCCATCTTTTGGTCACTAGAGGACACTGTAGATTCACAGTGAATTCATCGAAAAGAACGTTTTACTGCAGCTATTTAACAATAAAATGATTAAAAGTCAGCTAATTGAACACTTACTTTTTTGAACATACAAAATTAAAGGTAATACAATTTTCACATTGTAACTTAAATTCTCCATGTACAACTCTGGAAAAAATGAAGAGCCCACTGCAATGAACCCCATTGCAAACTTCATGGTTGTTTCACCAAATATTGATTTCTGAACTCTTCATGAGTTGAAACATTAGTATTGTTGTTTCTAAATAAACATAAACTTGTTTTCTTTGTATTATTTGAGGTCTGAAAGCATTGCATCTTTTTTGTTATTTTGACAATTTCTCATTTTCTGCAAATAAATACAACATGTTTTGAAGCATGTTGTCAGTAGCTCAAAAGAACAATGTTCAATTTACTCAAACATAGACCTATAAAAAGGTAAAATCAGATAAACTGATCCATTGGCCTTTTTGAGAGCTGTATTTTATTGCCGTTTTATCTTATATATTAACATGAAAGGTTGATAAGGGGATTTTAAAGCTTCCCGATACCTGATCTAAACTCATAGGCTGAGGAAGGAAAGCAGAGAAAGCAACCAGGAATGCTCATGGTAACTCTGGAGGAGCTGCATAAATCCAAAGCTCAAGTGGACTATTTGTTTAGAGGGCCAGTCTCATTTATGTTAATCTCAAAACTGATTTTTATTGGAGAGGCATTCAGAATAACACTGTTTGGAAATGAAAGCAAAACCTTGAAATGTTGAGGTTGAAATCTTTCATAAAATGACAAAATGTGGAAAGGTAATGAAGAAATATGACTGCAAAACCTAATCAAGCCGCAGGAGGGCGACACCTTCCCTCAAGGCATCCCATGAAGAAGATAAAGAGTGGCAAGATGGCGTCGCAGTATTACCAAGAAATGCAGGAGAGCTTCAGAAATAACAACAAAAGTCGGGAATTCCCGGCTCATACAGCCAAAGTACACTCCGTGGCGTGGAGCTGCGATGGAAGGAGGCTCGCCTCCGGCTCGTTTGATAAAACTGCCAGCGTTTTTATCCTGGAAAAGGACCGCTTGGTAAGTGAATCCGTGCAGTACAATGCGTGCTTAACCTATCCGTTTTCTTCTTTATTATTCTATGTGCTTGCATATGATGTTCTTTTATTATAGCCGAATTGTCAACAAAGCTTCCCCCACCTATACATAGTTCTTCTTCTGATCTGTTGGACAGATCAGAAGAAGAACTCATTCTGATCTTCTTGAGATCTGTTAATTAAGATTGGGTTTACAACACTTATGTGGGTTTGGCACTTTTAAAACATCTGGACTTTATTTTCACATGAGCTAGTATGTGAGCTGTCGTTCGGCTTTACTTACATAGCACATGATTGTAGAATAAAGGCATAAGTAACAGAGTGAAGGTGATTGTTCACACAGATGCGCAACTCCTATCAGAACCAGTCTGAGTTTTGGCAACTATCTGCTTTGACTGATGGAGCTCCGTGAGGGCAGGAAAGAGACACAGAAACACTTATAGCAGGGGTCCCCAAACTACGGCCCGCGGGCCGGATCCGGCCCCCCTCCTCATTTGGTCCGGCCCCCTGAACAATACCGGATCTGGCCCGCCTCCTCATTTGGTCTGGCCCCCTGAACAATACCAGAGAGCATTCAGTGTTTTTTTTTTCATATATATGTGGATTTTTCTTCAACCACCAGGGGCGCTCTTGAGGAGATATGAAACTTAGTTTCCCTCAATGGAATATATACTAGTCAGTACCAGTCACCGTTTCGCTCACGGTTTTTTTGGGTAAAATCTATCTACAAACGCGAATATGTCGTCGGCAGTAATCCAATTCCCCCCCCCCGTCCGTCAACAAAACTTTTCTAAGGTTTCTTTCTCGAAAAACTAAGACCGGCCCCCGACCAGAAAAGGGAAAAGTCATGTCGCCCTCGCAGGAAAAAGTTTGCGGACCCCTGACTTATAGGATTAGTGATTGCGGGTCAGGTTTTATTTGGACGTGGCTCTAATTTGTACCTTTCTCTAGGTGAAGGAGAACAACTACAGAGGACATAGTGACAGTGTGGATCAGTTGTGCTGGCATCCAACCAACCCGGATCTGTTCGTCACTGCGTCTGGAGACAAAACCATTCGCATATGGGACGTGCGCACCACCAAATGTGTCGCCACAGTCAACACAAAGGGTACAATCATACTTGTGATTCCTTGAATCTGGCCTTAGTAAAACTTTAAAGTCCTCAAATCATTTTCTTTCCTTTTTTTTTTTAATTAAGGTGAGAACATTAATATCTGCTGGAGTCCCGACGGTCAGACAATCGCAGTCGGGAACAAAGACGATGTTGTGACCTTTATCGATGCCAAGACGCACCGCTCCAGGGCTGAGGAGCAGTTCAAGTTCGAAGTGAACGAGATCTCCTGGAACAACGACAACGACATGTTCTTCCTCACCAACGGGAATGGCTGCATCAATATTCTCAGGTAGAAACCAAATTGATCTGTGAACCTGAAGTTCCTGCAGGGTGTTGATGAATGTGTCCTGTTTTCTCATTAAAAACAGTCAGTATTATTGTCTTGCTTTCTAAAAATGAACTGTTAATGGTTCTAATTTTTAAAAATATTGATTTTATTGTGACCTTTAGAGCCAAATTCCAGAAATCATGCATGACTTCCACAATGTATCATTTCAAATTATTCAACAACTGTCCTGAATTTAAGACAGAATATTCATTTTTGCAAATGGGGCGAGCAAGAAAACATTTATGGTTGAATTTATGTCAAATCCTCCAATGTCTCTAGGGCATATCTGTCTTCCTCTTGTTTACGAGTAAATAATTAGTACTCTGTCTGGCAATTCTTGTCCAGATGTCCAAATTATTAAATTTAAATCCACTTTTATTTATTAAATGTAGATGCACGTTTATGTATCAGCAGTATTTTACTCTTGAATAACTTCTCACATCTATCTGTCCTCATTTGATAATTGTGTAGCAGGATTGCCTTTGCTTCGGTGTCTCCATTTAAATTTGAAAAAGTAAAAGTATTTGGAAATTTTTTTAGTTATACACCTAGGCTTTGTGTTTTTCTTTATGATCTTTTTAAAAAAATACTTTTTTTTCATCTAATGGATGAGCTATTGAGATCTTGCATGAGAAGTTTTTTTTTTTTTTTTTTTTTTTTTTTTTTTTTTTTTTTTTTTTTCTTTAATATAAAAAATGATGGTTTTTTTTTTTCTTTTTCCCGGTTCAACACCC